TTTTTGCAGTAAAGGTTTTTTTATATAAATAGCATAAAGTAACATCACTTTTATCGAGTTCATAATTTATATTAAATTTTAATATCCTTTTGATGCAAGACAGTATCTTTAAAGACCCATCAAGTAGTGTAGTTAACACCACACAAAAGCTTTTATTTGCACTGATAAAAAATAAAACTTTAGATTTCTAATTTTACAGCTTTACTGATGGGAACTATTGTAAATACAGCTCCTGATTATTTTTAATAGCACTATTACAACTATTTTATATAATCAATCAATTTTTTTCTTTTAAAAAGTTTGGAGAGCTCTCAACTGTGCTCTGAAAGCACAGCTTTGCCTTTGGTAAGTGAGGTATGGGACAGCACTGCTATATTTTTATTTATGCGTTTGGCACTACGGGATCTCTCCTCTCGTAAAAAACATTGCCTCATTTTGAGAAAGAAGAGCCTTTTTTTTCCTTATGAATGTACAGGTGCCCCAGTACAGAATTTCTGTTGTCTTTCACATCTTTATATTGTGGCACCTTACTTCCTATGAAGGGGTACAGCTGAATTCACCAAAAAAACTGCAGAGCTTTGTGACCTTCTAGGGTATGACACAGCATTGGAAGAACAGAAGAGGTAAAAATGGTGTGAGATACAGAAGAAAAAGAACACAGGAGACAGAAGGTTTGAAGAAAATATGATTATAAGAAGAGGCTATTAAATACCAGGACTAGTGCAGCTCTCCAAAATACATGCAAGGTGCAACTAATTTAGGAACCATCAAATATCCTTGCTGTGATATTTTACTAAGTTTGGGAATTTTTTTCTCCTTCATGAAAATAGCTTCCATTTATTCAGTGTGAAATTAAACCTAAATATATCCAGGCTCTTTGTCTGAAGAAGTATACGAATTCCCACAAAAGTTTTCAATTCCATGTTTTACAAATCTCAATCCCCCATGCAGTAAGTATTTCACAACCTGCAAGGATCAGTGTTGTATGGTAGGAAGTTAGTTATTTATCCTTTCAGTAACCTAAAAGCAGTCAGCCAGCAGAGTCATTTGAAGGACTGTAATATACATAATAGTAGATAAGGAGAATCCAATGGCAGCGTGATGGATTAGCTCATCATTTGTGATTTCTGTCCAAATCTCTACAGTTTTACAATAACATGCTTTATCCTTCTCACCAATTTTCTCTCCTGCTCATGTCCCAGTAGGTAGCTGAGTTGAAATTTTGTAATGAAAACCTTTCAACGTGGTATCTAGGTATGTTTGTCCAAATGGAACCATGCAGCAAAATTCATTCCATGACAAAGCCTTATTGCAGTAAAGTGATGACCACATCATCATCTTTTCCTTGCCAAAGCATTTCACCTTCAAAATGAACAAGACCATGTTTTCTGGCTCTTAACAAGATTCCTACTACTTTGTTGGAAATAGTCACATATGTTTCAAACAGCTGCCCGAATGTCACACTCACGTGTCCATCTTCTCCCACCTGTCCAGTGCTTCTAATGATCAAGCACAGCTCTTCTACTTCCTTGCCCACGTGTGAGTGAGCATCTTTCCCTCTCTGCTCTGTCCGAGACCCTTCAGGGGGTCTCCCATAGGTAGGATCTCCTCGGTGAGTATGCGCAGGTTTAGATGCAAGTCTGTCATCACTGCTGAACGGGTTCTTTCTCTGATACTCAATGTGATCCTCTGCCCAGGTCTGCCAACTTTTCCTCAGGTCACCAACTGCACCGGTAGCTTTAGCACTCTGCCCTTTATCTCCTTCCATTTCTTGAAAAATGTTTTATGGTACTCAAGCAGGAAACAAATCAATGACTGGTTGTAACTGCGGTTCCTGGGTGCACTGTCAGCTGTAAAAGAAAAACAACAAATCAGCTCGACAATTTTTGGAGGAGTTTTGCTCAAGTGAGAGGAAAGGCTGCTGAAAAAGACAATAAATATCTGAAGACTTTTTAAAGTCCACCCATAATTCTACAGCAATGAAGAAAGTAAAAGTGATTCAGCTGAAATTCAGAAGCAACACTGGAACACGTTAAGTTATTCTTACAAGGTTACCCAGTGTACAACTGGTCCCACAGCCTCCGTGCAACACAAACATAGTGCAGTACTTACTTTTCCTGCAATGATGCCTTTTAAAGAACTTTATCCTAGTACCCAGCAGCCCCGCTGACTTCCCAAACAACCTGATGCAGTGCTGGCTGACCTGGGAAGAGAGCAAACCATTCCCCGAGAGGCAGCACACCAAGAGGCAGCACACCAACCCACGTAGAGGGGTGGAAAGCCTTTCTCCTGCCTGCGCACTGATTAAAGGTGGAGAAATTCATGCTGTGCCGACAAGGTTCCCACAGACTGTGGAAGTTATTAAGCACAGAAAATATTATCTGGAGCTGAAATGGCAGTACATGGCAGGAGCAGGGGGATTTTCCTCATCAGGCACTGCAAAGAGGAGTGGAAATCCCAGTTAGTGAGGGTGTCACTGTCTGCAACACCCTATTTAGTGAAGAAGACAAAACCCGAATAGATAGTTCTCCCTTAAAAGGCTGTGCTGCACAGCCATGTCTGCCAGCTACAAGCCACAGGCAGGCTCCAAGGCAAGGGAGCTTGCGCTCCAGAGGGGAAACTGCCTTACCGCTCCGGGTACACGGGCTGCCCACCACCTATGACATTACATGTACTTAGATTATGGGCTATCTGTGAAGTACAGGATTATTTTGATGAATTAGGCACAGACTTTTGCATATCTACAGAGATCTGAATGTGTTATAACCATGTCTTTGCTGAGTCGTATTTTTCACCTGTTGAAATATGCAAACTAGAGTTTCCATATAGCACATTAGTAGAGCTGATACTTTAACTGACATTTGAAGACAAAACCGAGGATTAGTACTAGATTTTCTATGGGGAAATGGACAGAAATGCAAATTCTGAACAGTTTAACAACTGAATTATAGAACAGGTATTTCTATAATTTAAAAAGATTGCTGTTTTTAAGGTAGGATTTCATGGATATTTGCCCATACTGGGCAACTTGGCCCAAATTGCACCATGTTGGTGCTGTTGCACATGAACCCATGAGCAGTGACAGAGCTCCCCGAATACCCCAGCAGAATGTGCAAGTCAGTCAAAAACCACTTGTGTTGCCTTCAGGTCCAGAAGAGGGCATGGGGTGAGCAGAAAATGGCAACACAATTGCTACAAAAGAGACCTGAGAATAATAAGCAGCAGCACACATTAAATAATGGCTTTTCAATCATGCTCTCTCACTTTTAAACTGAAACTCATGATTGTCATATGATCCTATTGTTATATTTTTTGTGAGAGAAAGGTGTTTAATTCTAGCTTCCTGGATAAATTTCAAGATGAGTAATTACATTTTGTGTACTTAAAATTTTCCTTAAAATTTTAAGGCTAAAAGGCTAAAAAGGACAATTTTTCTTTCTTTCCCTCCCTAAAATAGTTACATAATGTTGTTGATTTAGGATGACTTCCCAAATCCACACTAACAAACTGTTTGATTCTCCTCAATGGCATTACAGGAATGTATGTTCAGCTTACAAAAACACCATCTCTAAAGCATTTTGTTTTTACATCAGAATCAAATACTCTGTAAGTCTTAGTAATGTACATTCACTTTCAAACTATGCTGAGCAACATATATAGACTACCAGAGATTTTGCATGAATCCTCAAGTCTAAAGCAAGAAAAAAACAGGGCTTTAGTTAAACTCTTCTGCAGAAGCAGTATCACTGGAAAACTGAGGTATTCATCTCATGAGACCAGACAGCAATGCTATGAAGATAAAGCAGTGCAGATAAAGTAAGCAAAAGCCAGTCTCAAAGAGATAAGGCTTAAAAATAATACCGCCTTCTAAGGAGTTTCAAAAATAGAAGCTATACAGCTAAGAAATTTAAAGTGAGACAGAATGTAAAAATAAAAGCAGGCTTCTTTCAATAAATCTCTCTCAGCAATCCCAAGATTTTGTACGCAATCTCAGGCTCTTGGGGTTTGTCAGCAGTTCAGCAGTGTGTTTATTGCTGGGTGCCAGCATTCAACTGCTCAGGTGAACAAGCCTGATCCACATCTACCTCTTTTCTTTCTCTTCTAGGAAAGTTCACGTTTAGCTGCCAGGTCACTTTAGATTGTTTTCTTGTCAATCATCAGGGCTAAAACTTCACAGTAAACCTCGGTTTTGATTACTGCAGGAAGGGATAACTGGAGAAGCTGCAGGATGGAATTATGGAGATGCATAAGGAAGGTGGCCTGTGGAGCGCACACTGGTCATGAGCAAAATCTTAGCCATCTAGAAAAAAAGCTGTCCAAAAATTAGCACATAAAATACAGAACATGAGTTCAGTGCTGAGCTGGCCTGGTTCTAATAAAAAGCTTACCGAAATCTGGATAAGCCGAATCTCTCAACTCAACATAACAGGGAGATCAGTGAGTACGAGATTATAGTTATCAAGCCTAGATATTAAAATAAAAGAAAATATAATCCGCAAGACGAATCCGTTTCTCCCCCCCCCCCCGATGGATCGTCACACCTCTGTCCTCCTGGGAATCTGCTTCTCTACGTGGTCCGACACCCACGCCGCCGGTGCTGACCTCCTTCCCACGGAAAAACGAATGCGACTCCTTTGGCATCTGTTAATTCTTAATGTTATTTAATGCTGCAGATCCTTAAATGTGGCCAGGAGAGGCCGCAGCGCTGCCCTATCAGTGCTAACACCTCTGAGCCAGCGTGCGTCCCCAGGATACGTGTAGTTATTTATAAACCATACGCAGGCTCTGCTGTCCTGACACGTGGCGCGCATGATAAAGCACACACAAAACAGAAATTACAAGAAGGATGAGAAGGAGACGAAATGAACAGTAGTTAACGCAGAGTGCGCGCAGCACCCAGTCCCGCCGCCCCGCGGACCCTGCCACACGCCCCGGCCGGGCTGATCCCGCCTCTCCCGCCACGGCGCGGAGCCCGCCCGCTCCCGGCGGCGCATGCGGCGGGCGGGGGATGGCCGGACATGGAGCTGGGAGCTCCGGCGCTCCGGCGGTATTTGCTGCTGCTGGCGCAGGAGCACCTCGAGTTCCGCCTGCCGGTGAGCGCTGCAACGGGCCGGGACCGGGGCCGGGGCCGGGACCGGGGCCGGGACCGGGACCGGGGCCGGGACCGGGACCGGGGCCGGGACCGGGATCGGGGCCGGGACCGGGGCCGGGGGCCGGAGCGCTCCCGGACAGCGCCGTCCCGGGTGTGCCCGCGGGCGGCCGGACCACGGCGGGGCCTCGCCCGCCCCGGCTCGGGGAGAGCCGGGGACGAAGGGCTCCCAGTCCCCCTTCGCTCGCCGTTCCCTGTGTCCCGTGGCAAGGGGCCCCCAAGCGTGGGGCTGCCTCTCCTCCCTTCCTGCTCCGTGGAGAGCGTCTGCATGGTGGCTTTTTTCCTTGCTTCTGGCGCTAGGAGAGGTTGCCAGCAGAGTACGTGAGGCTCCACGTGAGAAGGGGAAGCTGTGAGGGAGGGGAAATGGGGTTACAGAAATGCTTTCGAGATCTTGCTCTGGTGACTTTTAAAGTTTGTTTAAACTATATTGCTGCTCCCGCCAGCGTGGTGTGGGTACAGAAAAGGTTGGTGCAGCCCCGGGGGACGTGTGGGGTCAGCTCTCATTCCAATGTCCAATGGACTGCTGGGGGAAGTGGTGGAGTTACCGTCCCTGGAGGTGTTTAAGGAAAGACTGGATGTGGCACGTTGTGCCGTGGTCTAGTTGACATGGTGGTGTTCAGGCATAGGTTGCTCTCCATGATCTCGGAGGTCTTTCCCGACCTGGCACTTGGTTGATGAAGAAAGCGGTTCCATTTCCCTTTTCTTGTACTCTGCTCAGCTATGTGTTTGGCTTTGTCATAAGCTGTGTTAAGGACTTAATGAAACAAGGAAGGACAGATTTTTTAGCCAGATGATCTACTTGATCTCCATCTCTACCACATCTGCATATGGGATATGAGAGGACTGCTTTTGTTCTTCTGGTAGTGCTGGATCACAGCAGCTGAAGGTGTTTATCAGAGTCCACATTTGTTGTTCAGTGTCTGAAGTTATGTGTTTCGTATTTCTTAGTTGATAAACTGTGCTCCATAATCAGGGATCTGGTTTTTGTTAGGTCGGATACTTAGGGGTAAGATCAGGCATCCTGTTTTACAGCAAAGCTTGTGTCTAATGGACAGATCAATGCATGTCAGATGTTTTCTTATCAATGTCCTCAGGCAGATATGTTCCAGTGCTTCATTGTCTTTACTCTTGGAAGGATCTTCCCAAATTCTTATCCAGAGCACTGCTGTGATTTGAACCTCATTCAGTCATCTCCTCCATAATGAATGTTGAAAACAGATTTTTATCTTTCTTTATCACAGCAACCTTTAGCATGTGTAGTTGGTCTCTCCCAGCCTTTCCTTGCAGGCCGTGTTTTTTCTGCTTCTCATTTTTGTCACTTTCCTGTAGGTAATATTACTGGTGTTTGGAGGTGCCACCGATTTCTGTGTAACATCTCAGGTGGTTTTTCTGCCTCAGGATTGTACAGTGAAATGGTTACACATAATCTTATATTCTCCTGGAGCAAACCCCCTGTTTTTTCTAATGTTTCTTATGTCCTTTCTGTTCAAATGGAAAGATGGAAATGAGTGGGGTAATGTCCCACTAAAACCATATGCTAGTGTCATGTTGGGTTTTTCTTTCCTCCATTTTTTGGTGATAATTAATGGTAATCTTTTCATTTACCCACTCAGTTGAAATCTAAGCCAGTATAAAATTTTGCCTCCGTGTTCTTTTGCCAGTAGCATTCAGAGATTGCAGCATGTCATTTCTAGTATTGGGGCTACATGAGAAACATCCCTGGTGTTTACATGTCATTTGAGTTTGAAAGCCTTTTTAGTGCATTGTTTTTTCTTTTTTTCAGGTATTACTTATTAGCTTGTTTCGTGGTGATTTGTTCTTTCATATGGTCAATTTACAGTCTTTTGATTTAGAGAAGACATCTACTGAAGAAAACTATTGAGATACTTGTAAAGCAGAGAGGTAACAGAAAAGGAATTGATGCTCAGCGCTTGTCCTGGCCCTGGGTCAGTGTTACTAGTGAAACATCATTTTTATGTGAATTAGGCAGAAAAATATTTTAAGAATAGAGAGAATAATATTGTAAAAGGAATATTGTTATGAGAGTGCAGGATTGAACAGTAAAGATTTAGATGAAAGAGAAGATATGGAGCAGGGGAATTTGATTACTGAAATTTGCCTAACAGAGCTCATTCCTTTGCCACTGAACTCTGAGAAAGCTACTTTTATAGCAGGAAAGTCTTAATTTTTTTTCTGTTCATGAACGGTACATACAAGCTGAATTTATGTGTGAACTTCTGTCCTATCCACACAACTACGCTGAGTGTTTCACTGTCGGTTCCCACAGGAAAGTTGGTAGTACATGCCATTCTGTCTTCTCTTGCTGTCTCTAGAATTTTCTTCATAATCCTCACCGTCTGTGTTAGAATTTGTGTTATGCTGCCCTTTTTTCCTTATTTCCCCCCTTTCTTTCTTCAAAACATTCATTAATGATTCTAAGGCCTGACTTTTATATTTTCAATTTAGGAAATAACATCATTGCTCTCCCTTTGTGGTGGAAAATTCAGTGGTGAGCAAGAAATTCGTGTAAATGTAAGTGAGGACCAAATATTTTACTTGAGTGTGCGTATGGTATGCAAGTACATTCTTTATAGTATTTTTGTTAAATGTGGGTAGCTGAATAAATTTTGAAGTTTCTTAGAAAAATCAAGAATCTTCCAAAAACGAGGAACTCTCAATTTCAGTAAAGACTCAGAACTTAAAAAAAAGAAGCACAAAATGCACCTCAGACTGTCTTCATTTAAGATTATGAAAAGAAGCAGTGCCATCTGCTGGGAGGCTCTCCTTTCTTCTTGGAATAGGCGAACTGTGAAAACATTCAGCAGCACTTTGGATTTGGTGTTTGCATCTAAATCAATGAGACAGAATACGGCTAGGAAGTTGTATGATTTTGGTCTCAATGCTTAGTCAGAGAATATTACTGGGAATAAGTTACTACTTGTGTGTAACGTGATGTTTTCCATCTTTAGGGGCTGAATAATCTACAGAAGTGCAAACAAATATTTTGCTAAGTCAAAGATACAGTGGAAAAACGAAATACATAACAAAATTTTTCAGACATTCAAGCCAAGTAAACAGTTTTGCCTGAAATTAAATATTTATCCTCTGTATTATTACAGTCAACAGATTTATTTTTTTTATTTATTTTCAGCATGCACATTCTGTTTTTATAGAACAGAATTGTGTAGTTGTGTAATTCATCTGACATCCTCCAACTAGGTATTTGTATCACTTATCTTCTCTTTATTTCAGTCTCCATTTTGGATTCTCAATATTCCTTCAGAAGAAATGGCAAGGGGACTAATGAAACGGACAGTATGTGCAAAGTAAGAGATGGAAAATCTTGTAAACGATAACTGAAGCAGTGGAATATTGTTTTGTTATGTTGTGGCAAATACAGATTTTGTATGGAGTCTTCAAACAAACAGAAGATGTAACTGGAGTTTGTAGGACTCCTGTAGGACGGATTATGTAGAGTTCACGTTCTCTTTACTTGGTGTATGATCAAGTCGGGACAGTGTTCTTCACTCCAGAGACAGTACTCACTGATGTTTTATTCACCTTGAATAAAGTTTAGTTAGTGAGTTGTTTTAAAACATGTCTGGAATTAAAAGATTAAAACAATGATAAGTAAAAATTGAAAATCAAGTTTTGAAGGGAAAGGTTATGTTACCCCCCCTTAGTGCTGGCATCTGAGCCCTCAGCCCAGTCTGCTGCAGCAGAGGTCCTTCTAGAAAATTCAAGAGCACAAGAGTATGCCAGAGAGTAATTGTTCCAGCTGGCCCTTTTTAGAGGTGTCTGAATAATATTCTTTGCAGTGAGGCTTGTGAGAGAGGCTTTGGAGGTATGGTTCAGGATGAGAGCCAGTGTAAGTGTGGTCCATCTCTCTGACCATACTAAATTTGTGGTGTCTGTGCTGTGTTCTTCAGAGTTAGTTTGGGCCCCTCTGCAGAGCATTGCACAGTCCCTGTTGAGTGCTTATTGTGTCAGGTATTCAGTTTTACCTCCAGTGGCTGGGGCTATCCAGTCTTGCCTATAGGAGTCCCATGTGTACAAAACTATCCTTATGACAGTATGTTTCCAGTGGAGATCAACTGTACTGCACTTCAGAAAGCGGCCGTAGGCAACTAATGAAGTAAAATACGACAAAGCAGCTTGTAGATGTTCTGTATGCCATGATCTCTCAGCTAATGTATCCTTATTTTATGTAGAAAGTGTAGCTAGCCCACAGCTTATTTTTCTGGCCTACTACTCATTGTGGGAAGACATGTTAGTTTTAGAAGAAAATTTCCGGTGCATCTTCATTGCACTGCTAATCAGTAACAAAAGCTCTGAAACTTTTGGTATATGTTACCAAATAAAAAAAAAAAGCATTGTTAAAATGTCATTTTAGGATTAAAAATTAGTGTGTCCTTATTAAGAAAAAAAATTAAAACGTTTGCTAAGAGTTAAATACCACACTTAAGTACTCCATGAAGTAAAGCCTAAATAAATTGGCCAAGAAGGTTAAAAGGAGTAAGTGTCTGTAAGGCATTTTGCCCCCTCCATGTGACTACACTCTCAAAAATTGTGTAATTTCAGGTCTATATTTGAACTGTGGGGTCATGGAAGATCTGAGGGGGAGCTCTATGCCTCTCTGAAGAACTATCCAGTGGACAAGATGGTACGCATATAAAAAGTCTGGATAATATGGTTCCTCTATGCGCTGAATAGCACTGCATCTGTACTAATGAAACGGTCTTTGCCTTTTTTTTTCAGCTTCCATATCTACAGTCAGACTCTACTTACAAAGTACATATTCATACATTTAATAAAACACTGACTCAAGCACAGAAAATAAAAAAGATTGATGTAAGTAGATGGTTAAGAAGTCTTTGATGTTTAGTTTAATCATTTATGTTGTTCTTATTCCATGCTATCCGAGTTTTTAAGTTTTGGTTTCCTGAAGATCTGAAAAAAGTTTATTGCTTATATCTTATCTAGTCTAAATGAGGTCTTTGTGTCTGAATTAAAATTCCCTCAAAATTCCCGACTTTTTTTTTTGTTTCCCTAAACAGCCCATGTGAGGCATATACAAAGCCAAATAAACATCACTGCTGATTTCAGCCCAGTGTGCTGGGGAAACTGAAGCTTATTGCTCAAAACGCTAAGATTCAAGTGGCTAGAATTAGGTGCTAGACTTTTGGAAAATCTGTTACTTAGTCTGCGCATTAGGCTTTTATTGTTGTAGAATGTGGAACAAGTGACTTCAGTTGCAAGGTGTGTATTGTGTGCTAATCTCCTGTTCTGTCCTTATGCTCTTTTCTGCACTTGTGCTCTCCTCCTAACTGTATCAGTATTATAATTAGGATTTTTTGCTCTTCCACATTCTATTTTATTAGCTTTTTGTTTTATTTACAGAGACTGAAATTATCTGTGTTAGTAGTAGCCACTCTTTCCTGTTTGTTCAGTTTTTGTGTACACGAAATAATGCTGAGTATGTAAATTGGTGTAGCTGCACATCACTGAATTTTATATCCTATTGTTCATCATCAATGTTGTTTTTATAACTTGAAAATTGCGTAAATAATATGCACCATTCATTTCCTCTAAAGTTGGGTTCTCTTCAGTTAATAAAAAGTGTTATGGTTCCTGATTTCTAATTCTTAATCATTTGAGGTATTTTTATTTACAAGAAAGGTATTTCAAAAATCTAGATAAAATTGAGAATGTACTTTTTAATACTTATCTATCATTTCTCACTAGTAAAATTGTGGTGGGGTTTTTTGGGCAAGAGTTTGTTTTGGTTTTTTTTTCTATTGGAGAGAAGGTGCCTATTTAAAAAATTGACTCTGGTTTGACTTTTTTTTACTCTATTTTTCTTTATTGTATAGGCCCTTGAATTTCTGCCATTCAAAGGAAAAGTAAATTTAAAGAATCCAGAACACATCTTCTGGATTTTGGAAGATTATGGAATGAACCCAAATAATGTTCCAGAAGAGCCCTTTCATCTGTATTTTGGTAGATGGGTGCGTGAATATGCTTGCTTCAGTTCTTATGAGCTTGTATTTTCAGGAAAGTGTTCTTCAATTTAAATGTAAAACATTTTATTGACTTTCAATGGAAGCAGACAATATAATTATGTCTGAATCTGTCACTGCAAGTCTGGGAAACTTTACTGTGACTAGGAAGAAGTGGGTTTATTGAGCAATTTAGAGGTGGAAAAAATGAAGTTGTATCTGGAAACACACCTTATCTTGCCCTCCACTGAGAGAACTCAGCACAGCTGTGAGACTGCACAGCTGTGGTGGTGTATTATGTTATTGTGGGACCAGCTGCAGCTGAAAGCACCAGCAGTGTGTTTCAGACATGTAGAAAGATATACAGAACTGTAGGTGGCTTGTGGCCCTGCTGAGTTGCATCAGGCCCACTAGAGCATTCTGTAAGTGCTTCAAGAGGTCCTGACAGGAACCTTCACAGAAAGGTGCAGACTGATCCCTGAGGCTTTGGACATCAGCAGGTTCAGCTCACAGGCCCGAGGGGACACTGGCAGTGCAGGGCCTACAACAGGAACCACTTATAAAAACTGTCTGGAGCCTGTCAGCTGAGGTCTTCACTACAAACCTTCTTACCTGTTGGCCATATGCACTCTAAAGCCGCCACATTTTTAGGATATCGTGAGGAAATTTGATCTGGTCTTTTATATTTTTGTGAGGAAAACGTGGCTCCCCAAAGGACATCTTCCAGAATGACACTAGCCACTGATGGGAATATGTGCTAGCAGTGTCCTGGGTCAAGGGCAGCTGGAAGGAGGGAGAACCACTGCAGAGGCTGTACAGCTATGGTCAGTGACTTGTGTACAGGGAAGTCAGACATCCAAGTGATCTGTTAGGACCTGTGATGTGATTAATGTATAAGCACTCTGGGTTGTGACAATACTGTAAAACATTGCAGCTATTGGCCCATCTGTGCTGGATTTCTGAAGTATTGAGTAAACTAACCTGAAAAAAATAGGCAAATGTATTTTGTTTACCCAGTAAGACTGATGTTGACCAGAGATGGGGGGATAGTGTTGGAAGAGCTCTTGACCATGTCTTCTTACAGATTGCGTTGGTCTTCTTCAACATATTTTAGAAGTCTGATGTAAAAATACTAGCATTTGGTCTTTGTTTGCTTTTCCATTAAATTCTGATCTGTCAGTGCTATCCTAAATTTAGATGCTGAGCCTGGCAGAAGTGCTAGTGAAGAAGGAAGTTCTGTATGACCTTAAGTATACGTGTGTGCATTTCTCCTCCTCTTAATTTTGAAATTCTTTTAACTCTGAATTGCCAGGAATTGTTTTTTCTGATACTCAGAATAATAGCAAAGTTGCTATAATTGTTATTTCTTCAGAAGAATTTTCTGTCTAAAATGTTTGTATATTTTTAACCTCTGTCTTGAAGAATTTATCTAGGTGTTGAACCAAGATATCTGTTGCTTGGAAAGAAGTCTGTCATATTTTCAGACGTCAGAAAGCAAGGTGATGTGTTATGAAATAAAGTTACCTGGTTTTGGATGGTGTCACTTAAGCACATGTGTTAGCCTGCCTGTTTATATCTTGTATCTAAGACCTGACAGTGATTTTAAATGTTTCAACAGATTGCAGATGGCCAAAGAGAACTCATTGAATCCTACAGTGTAAAGAAGAGACACTTCATTGGAAATACAAGCATGGATGCCTGCCTGTCTTTTATTATGGCCAACCATGGGAGAGTAAAACCCAATGATGTTGTATATGATCCATTTGTTGGAACAGGTATATATTTTTTTTTCCACTGGTGGGAAAAACGGGAAGATTGTCATACTGTTTGCACCTGGTTTTACCTGGTGCAGTGGCTTCTGGTGCTCAGCTGATATTTGAAAGGATACCAAAGGCAAAATGGTGATTGTAAAATAAGTAGTCTGTTAACTTGAAAGGGATTTTGGGGGAAGGAGACCAACTTCCAAAGCTATAAACAGTTTATTTCACGCTTCTAAAAAATCTGTCTTCATGGTTTTATTTTATGCACCATGGCTTAAACACTACTTCATATGTGTTATGGACTGCCTAACATCCAAAGTGACTGAGAAGTGAAATTTGGCTAATGCACTTCCTGCAGTCGCTTTCAGGGGGTTACAAGGAGTAGCATTTTAGAGCTGGCTATTTAAAGTGCTGAGGGCACTTCTAGGCTTTTAACACAACGTAACAATAGTTAGGTCATAGCATTCAGTAGAGATCAGTTTGTTGTGCCTTCACATCCTGTCTTCAGGATAATACTGCTCACACCACATATCTGCCCCCAACTGAACTTTTCCTAGTTTATCCAGGAGGGGGAGCTTTTAATCCACATATGACATAAAAGTACATTTTGACTCCCAGAAACTGAGCTGTTGTGTAGGTGAAATAGCTGATCTGTTGTGTCAGGTCGTGCCATATAAATCATAGCAGAGTATATTGTATTAAGCTACCTATAGTAGTTTCTTCAAAAACGTAACGAAGGCTGTGTTTTTGACCTGGATTGTAGAATCATAGAACATCCTGGGTTGGAAGGGACCCACAAGGATCATCGAAGTCAAACTCCTGAACCTGCACAGGACAACCACAAGAGTCACACCATGTGCCTGAGAGCATTGTCCAAGCACTTCGTGAACTCTGTCAGGCTTGGTGCTGTGACCACTTCCCTGGGGAGCCTGTTCCAGTGCTCAGCCACCCCTTCGGTGAAGAACCTTTTCCTGATATCTAACTTAAACCTCCTCTGACTCAGCTTGAAGCCATTTCCTCCAGTGCTGTCACTGGTCACCAGAGAGAAGGGATCAGTGTCTGCCCCTCCACATCCATAGCAGTTTCAGACTGCAATGAGGCCCCCTGTCAGTCTCCTCTTCTCCAGGCTGAACAGACCAAATGCCCTCAGCCGCTCCTCATACGGCTTCCTCTCAAGGCCCTTCACCATCTTCGTTGCTCTCCTTTGAGTGCTCTCTAATGGCTTAATATCTTTCTTATATTGTGACACCCAAAACTGCACACAGTATTCAAGGCGAGGCCGCACCAGTGCAGAGCAGAGCGGGACAATCCCCTCCCTCGACCGGCTGGCGGTGCTTTGCCTGATGCCCCCTGGGATACTGTTGGCCCTCCTGGCTGCCAGGGCACTGCTGACTCATATTCAACTTACTAGACTTTGATCAAGATGACCACGTGTGAAATGCATACAATTAAAAATGCTTACATTAATGGGAGGATGAGGATAGTTTTCTGCAGAAATGACTGCAGAGAAGTTAGGGAGAGAGAAGACAACACTACAGGGTCACCAGTAGGATAAATTCTTAATAGCATGTATCTTCTCTGTACCACAGAAAACAAAATAGGAATATAATATTTTCAGAAACACAAGGCTTCAGTGAACTCTTATGTTTTTGTCTTAAATTTTTGTTCATATATGATCTGGGTTTTTTTTCATGCATAATAATGTCTTATGAAATTTTCTCCTCATCCTTGTGCTTGTCCTTCTTTGAAAGGTTCAAGAAATTCCTCTACTTATCTGTCAGCAGTTTGTTTGATTTTGGTGTCTATAGCTTTGTATCTTCTTACAAAAATCTGCTAAACAAAAAAAACCAAAATCTCTGAGAGCATTCATTCTCATGGGAATGAAAAGGAAGGTAAAGACAGAGGAAGAAATGTCACATGGAAATGGCAAAGCTATAGAAATTCAATATAAATGTTAAATCATTTTTCAGTTCAAAAGGTAACAAATACAATACAAGTATACAAAATTTTCAACAAATTTCCTAGTGGTTTGAATTACGTTTTTGGGGGATTTTTTGCCCTGGATATCTGTAATATAAAGGCTAGAGATTAAAGCTGCATGAGTTTGCTGATCGGTTTAGAAAGAACATACATACAGGATTTGATGAGCATTTTGAAACTGCAGTTCAGATTTCTTTATTGATGCAACTTTATTAGCTGGCTTGGTTTCTTCCTTGTTTTTTTACACTGAAAATGTAAATAGTGCCAAATCAGAATAGCCTTGCAGAATGGTGCTTGCTTGTTGGAAAGAAACTGTTTTTTGCATAAGCCAAATCACAAGTCTTCCACGTTAGTGTAACAGTGGCAAATTGGCATTTGTCATTGGAATATGAAGTGCTCTTTGACCAGGCTGGCTTTTAGGAGACTTGATTCCCCTTCTTATTGTAGAGCAGAATTGGAACATCCGAGATTGTTTTTAAGTTCCATAAATGTTTAGATATTCTTTCCTCAGTGCTGAGCAGAAAGAAACCTGGAGCTTTCTGGAAGAATAAATCAAGTCTTCTGCCTTAATATTTTGTGCTTTCTCCTAGACAGTCTGTTCAGGTTATCTCAGTAATCTTGTTGATTATACCATTGGAAGGTATTTGTCCTTACTTTCTCTTTGCCAATTTGTGATACTGTGTAGTTGCAAATGACAAGAATTTTTTTCTTTGGCATTCTGGGGGCAGTGCTGTGAGCAGTCCTCGTGTGTGTTGAAGAGATGGGGGAATAGCGTACGATAGAAAGGCATGAAGTTCTGTGCCACTGGCATTCTGCTAATAGTCATCAGGGGACACAGTGATTCCCTGATTAACCCTCTTAGCATCTGTTTTATATAGTAGATCAAAGGGCTGGCCATATTACTGTATTTAAGTATTCATGCACCTTCTGTGTGAACACAATTGAACTAGTACCAGCTGAGACTTATTGAAAGCTCTAAGTTCATGTTTTCCTAACTTTTTTTTGCTTATGATTAAAACCATTCTTAGATGGGCAAAGTACTTTCTTCTTACTTTTTTTATAGGACTGGGTGGTATGCCTTACTTGGGGTCAGGGCTAGCTAAATTTGTCGTGACCCTCTGGAGGTACTGCCCATCTCTTCTGAGAGATTGCAGCCAAGAAGGGAAATGGGTGACTCCTCTGGGGTGAGTAGCCTTGCTTTTCCCTGATCCACTTCCTTGATCCAGGAAAAATCAGAGGAATTTGAAAACTTCTTTTCTTTCTCCCTCACATTTGTTTTTTGTAGAGTTGGTTACCATATGGTGTAGGAGTGCTCTGAGAGGGGATCCTTTAGCCCATGCACACATGGCATGTTAGGGATGCGTTTGTGCTGAGTGGATGGCTCAGGGTAGTTCAGCCACCTGAAGTGCTTCTCTCCATGCTCCCCGTGAATGGGAAAACTGGTGTCATCAGCACAGCCAGCTTGCACATTGTTCCCTGTGCTTGTCAACTCTTCCTCCTGCAGCAATCTTCCCCTTTATTTTAGCAGGACTGTTGACACCAGTAATGTGGGGTTCACAGCCTTGTTCTCAGTCACTGTTCTGTTTTAAACCATTCTGTTAGCTATGTACCTCCTAATTAATAACTTCACCACACAGGTATTTGGTAATCTTCTACAGTCTGTCCATTGTTTCATTTGGAAGCTGTTAAAGAGGTAATGTCATTTGTTCATTTTTGTGGTCTGTTCAACTGCTATCAAGTTTCAAGGGGAAATCACACATGCTTTTCTGTTAGGTTGGTTTTTTTTTTTAAATTAGGAAAGCAGATTGCAATAGTATTAATTAAAAAAAAGGTTTTATTGCAGAATAAGTACACTGGTAAAACTACTGACAAAATAGGCAGCATACTCACAGAAAAATGCATTTGTATATAGTTTTCACACGGCATAACAATTACAGGAACTGTTTCGATGTTCCTGTTTACGTTGGACATATTTACATTTGCAAGGCTCTTGGCCATTGTTTCTTACTCAGGGAATGGCCACATTTTACAACAAGTTTGATTTTAGACGCAGTTGAGGAAACTCACTTTGAGAACAGACACAGTAGAACTGCCATTTGTTTGGTGATGACTTTTCAAATTGTGTGCCAACAATTTGAAATTCTGTTCCTTGCAAAGTAGTATCAAAAGTTTTGGTTCATGTAATGATTAAAGAATCTTACTGCCTTGAAATACAGAAAACCATAAACAAAGTCCTAAGAGCAGTCTCAAAAGATAAGGAGTGACATAAGGCATAGTAAGATAAGGAGAATCAGGTATAGCAGACAAGGGACTTGGTGTAATTATTTCTGATTATAGTTGCATAGTGTTTCTAACAGGTTGGTAGTTTTATTTCTTTTTTTAGTTTCTTTTTTTTTATGCTTGGATCTAGCTTTGGGTCTAGTGTGCTACTGCTGTAAACTTCTGAAGTTCCTGAGGAAAAAATTCCAACACAAGTAACATTTATGACAGGAGTTTATATTTTTCCTCTTTTCTCCCCTGTGTAGGTGGCCTTCTAATCTCCTCAGCACACTTTGGAGCATATGTGTGTGGTACTGATATAGATTACAACACAATCCATGGATTAGGTACGTTACATATTTCTAAGCCACTAAAATCTTGCTCTCTGGAATTTAAGATGGTAGTGGATGATACTTAGTGGATTTTAAAGCAATATTAATCTTATTAGGATTTATTTGGTCATGCTTATTTTTATTCACCAATTTACATGTATCCTAGATAAAATATTATCTTATTTTTAAGCAGGAAATATTTTTAAAAAGGAATAATAAAAACCAAACAAAATTCCAAATAATAATTACCACAGCTGTGTGCTGTCTTAACCTGTGATGTAGGAAGTTTCTCATAACCTAACCCAGGAAGTCTAATCTTATTCTTACTTCTCTGAAAATCTGCAGTGCAAATTGTATCTGACCTAGTGGACAGGGTTGTGACTGATGGTCAGAGAGAATGTCTAATAAAACATTTTTACAAATGTGTTCTGGGACACCCTATGCAGATGGTGCAGCAGAACTTTTCTCGTGTATTTTCATTATTCCTTACTACTTCTGAAGTTTGCTGCAAGTACTTATGACAGGTTTTGTAGTGACATTTAATTATTTTCCTTTAAATTAAGTGGTAGAGTATATGAAAAGCTTTTCTTATATGATAGTTTCTTGTTGAGTGTTCTTTTTTCCCCCACTCTGGGCCCTCTCCCCTCCCAGGCAAGGCAAGCAGAAAGAACCAGAAATGGAGAGGGCCAGATGAAAATATCAGAGCTAATCTCCGACAGTATGGTTTAGAGAAATACTACCTCGATGCACTGGTTGCTGATTCTTCAAGGCCAATATGGCGAAAAGGGATGCTGTTCGATGCAATCATTACAGACCGTAAGTTTGTTACTGCTTTTTGTTGCCTGATAGCAGTGACTGAAAGATTATTACCTATGTCTGTGCCGATATGCATTGATTTAATGTCTGGATGAGTGCTCAGATCTGCGCTTTATCAAAGATGATTATTGAGAGCAGCACTGTGGAAATTGGATCTGCATTTGACATCTCTGCATTTATTTTAAGGGTAGTTATAAATGTGTAACAAAGCTGGCAATAACTCTTTCTTCCGTGGAAAGAATATTATGTTTACCAGCAGAAATCAATATGGCTGAAAATCATCCTTTGAAGAAGTCTCATTCAGTAAAAGCATAACTTTATTGATGCACAGAGACTTCTTATCAGAATGGTACATGCTGCTGTTAGGACTCGATCTGCAGGATATTGGAGTCTGCCATGCAGCCCTGATGGACTTCTGAAGATTTATATTAAATGCGTATTGTAATGCTTCCAAAGAGAAGTTTTAATGTGTTTCCAATACACTTAACTACTAGAAGCATTAGCATTTTGGAAGGATCCCTTGCTCTTTTAGCAACCTATGTACTAAACACCATTTGTCATGTATGAGAGGGAATAGAAACTAAGGGAATAAATGAAAGACAATTTCTGATCTCTAGTGCTGACTCTTATGATGAGACATTCATATTAATTAGGAATAGGGAGTGTGACTTTTCTTCGTGGGTTGCTTGCTAGTTTTTATTTGGTCCATTTGGCAATAAAACAGTGTAGAATACTCAGACCTGAGTGTGACACAATTTGTAAGACTTCTGCAATGGTTATGTTGGTGCTTCCATGATGCTGAAACAAGTCTCACAAAACCAGAGGTTTTGAACATGAAATAAGTATGTTATGTATTAGAAATGCGCAAAAATGTATGAGAAAAAGCCATCTTTGGTTCTTATTTGTGAGAATTACCATTTGTGTAATGTACTGGCAAGAAATTCCAATGTATTTAATTTCATTTTGAAAAAGGTTAACTAAATGCTATAGGGGACATGTTCATGTCTGGCAAACAAAAGAGGATGAAATTATTTGTCACATGTTACAAGTCTAAGGAATATCTTTTAATCGACGAAACAGAAAAGCATTGTCCTTTGTAGTGTAGCAAACTTGTAGGCTAATAGAAGCTCTTAGAAAGCTGAAGGGCTTTCATTGAATCAGTTTTAAAGTAACCTTTTAGAGTAATAAACTTCTAATAGATCTTGAAGAAATTTCCCTTGCTTAGTTTTACTTTGTAAAAGCTTTTTTTAACTTTGTATAAGCCACAGTTTATGCGCTGTCCTGTATGTATGGTATAATTGTGTGTTATTTGGACAAGGGATGAGGTTCTCATCTCTGCATTATGCATTTGCTTTGTCTAGCACCATATGGTATCAGAGAAGCTACTCGCAGAACAGGTTCACAAAAGGAAGCAGTTAAGTCAGTTGAAAGAAGGTAGGTGAGCTGTCTCGTCTGTTGTAGAATATAAATGTCTTAATGGAAATCTAGTCATAGTGTTAGAATCTTTATTACTTCTTGGTCGGCCATCAACAGTTAAAAAAATGGTGGCGATTATAATTAAAGAAGAAAAGCCCTTTTTACTCTGTTTGCAAAACCAGGATGTCACTTCCTAAAATTGTCTTGGTTTTGTTCTCCCTGCTTATCATTTGTGTGTGTTCAGATTTTGAATCCTATTTCTCACCTCTGTGAACCATCTTTACCTTTTATTTCCTATTCTCAGAAAGTTCTCTTCAGTCTCTGCAGACCACAAAATCAGTCTAAAATAGAATACCCATATTTTACCCCAACCTCTTCTTTTTTGGATTTCCACTGCTCTTTTCAGAGATAGGTCGTGGCTTCTCCACTGCCTGACCTTAATTTTCTTATGCGTTTTCCTCTAAATTGTTAAGAAAGATGTTGTTAAGAAACAACTATTCCCAGTATACCTGTGATTCTTTGACTTCAAATACTAAAGATGATAGTCTGAAGAGCCAGTTATGGGAAGTTGCAAAGTCATATTCCTCACATTAGAAGTTATATTTCTGGATTGTCACAATTAGTTTTGCAAGTGTCAGATAGTGCTTTTGTCGTCTGTTTTTGGTTATGGGGTTTTTTTATTTATTATTTTAAGAAATGTAGGTTTTACCCATGTTTTTATGTTTGTTTACACTTGTACATTTTTTGTTTAGCACAGAAAATCACATCTTCGTTTCATCCAATTATCATCTAAGTGACATCTTTTTTGACCTGTTGAAGTTTGCGGCAGAGTATCTGGTGATGGGAGGAAGATTAGTTTACTGGCTGCCAATATACAGGCCTGAGTATGTATTGTTGATTTCTGTTATGTTGTAAGTCAGAATGGATGCTGCACTCTCACTGTGTTTCTTTTGGGGCACAGTACAGCTGGAGCTTCCAGAGCACCAGCACTCAAGAGTAGTGCCCAGACTTTGTATTTTAAAACTTTGTGTGAGGAGAACCAGATTTTGAAATAAGGTTTTTGAATGGCGATAATTCCTGACTATTACCAAACAGAAAAAGCCTTACTGTGTCATTGCAAATGTACATCCAGTGAGTTGAGGTTTAAACTTAGGTAGTTAAACTTTCAAGGTACATATTAGAATGTGTTTCTCTGGAGTAATTGATAGAGATGTGTGACAAGGTCCTGTAAAAAACATTCTTGGTTCTTTGGAGTTTGACACTACTAATTTAGCTTTCTTCTGAGAAATAAAAGTCAAATGACCAAGAAATGGTAATGAGAGGCAAGAATCATAAGGGAGCAGCCCTGTTAAGGATGAGAGGGGCCAGCAGAGACTGCAGGATCCTGTCTGCTCAGTAGTGCAGCCTGGGTTCAGAACTGAGTTTAAAAGCAAAGACAGCTGTTTGCATATCTTACTTAAGCATCTCTTAGATAAGGTTTGATGTTTTTTTTTTGTTTTGGTTTGGGTTTTTTTTAAACTGTTTCACTGTAAAGTGAAGAGTTCTGTAGGTTTTTCAAAGTATCTTCCAGATACAGATGTGCTCTGAAGGTAGTTTTTACAATGCCAGGTGTTTCTATGTACAGTCAAAATATTACTGATGAATAAAGTGGTGGTTGTCCCTGGTTTCATCATGGAAATGGCTTGTGCCAGTCCTATATATCCTATATATCACATGCTTTGAAAATTTGGAAATCAAATGGAGCCATTTCTTTTACTGCTGTAACAGAAGAGTGCACTTAGCAGTTTGCATTTTTTAATAAATGATAGAATCTTTAGGCTTTTTTTTATTGTGAGACAATTAAAAAACAAAGCAATGAATGCCATTAACAGTATTATAGCTAGTTGTTCAAAATATCTGTCTATACATGCTTAACCCCAACAGACTGTGTGTGATTGTGAATTCTAAGATTTCCATGTCAATAAAAACTGTTTGGATTTACTGAATTTATTCTGTTCATCAAGATACTAGAGTTTTTCTGTCTACTCAATGAACTTTGTTAAAAAGCATGTTTCCTCACTTTAGATAATTTGGGAACTGCACATTCAGGATCTACTTTGGTTGTTGTTTTGGAGAGGTCTTGTTAAGTTGCCTCATAAAAAGTGAATTTGTTCATCCTACTGTGAATTGAAATATTGAAGTCACTATATTAGCATGGAATATTAGTACAGTCAGTTTATTATCAGTTGTAATGCTGAACAAGGGAACAGACATTAAAACAAGTATGTAGGGGGAAGGGAAGATACTTTCTACTAACATGTTGCATTATCAAATATCCCTTGGCAACACCTGCCTTCAATTTCATTTCTTGAGATCCATGTGTATTACCTTAAATTAAAGCCAAAGCTGGATTGAATTGGATGTCTGTTAAAATCACTGCTTCTGTATTCCTTACTTGATAAGGTTCTGAGTTTTACCTGAAAGAATGTGGAAATACATGCATTAATGCTAACAGACAAGGCTTTTTAGCAAACTGATAATGATCTCTCCATCTGCAAGATAGCATCTCACTCCGAAGTTTACTCTTTCAATCTGACATTGAAGTCATTGTTGAGTCAGAATTCTTTTAATTCCTTTGCAGTCAGTCTTTTATAATGTTATATATTTATAAACTTTATGTATAAACTTTATTACATATATTTTATATATATATTATTGTATACCGGTGAAATACGAATTGGATACTGCCCCCTCTTTAGGAGAAACCCTCAAGGCCATACAGCAGGTGAAAATTGGCAAGGCAGCTGGGGTTGATGGAATTCCACCTGAAATCTGGAAACATGGGGGCCTTGCACTCCATGCTAAATTTCATGAGCTTGTGGTGCGCTATTGGGAACTAGGCGAACTACCTTCAGACCTTCGTGATGCAGTCATCATCACCTTGTATAAGAAGAAAGGTACTAAATCAGACTGCTCAAATTACCGTGCTATTACTCTGCTCTCCATTGCTGGCAAAATCTTGGCAAGAATACTCCTGAACAGACTAATACCCGCTATAGCAGAAGAAATTCTACCTGAAAGTCAGTGTGGCTTCAGAGCCAACAGGAGCACCACAGACATGATATTTGTTCTCAGACAACTGCAAGAGAAGTGTAGGGAACAGAACAAAGGTCTCTATGTAACCTTTGTCGACCTCACCAAGGCTTTCGATACTGTGAGCAGAAAAGGTCTTTGGCAGATTTTGGAACGTTTAGGTTGTCCCCCCAAGTTCCTTAAAATGATCATCTCACTTCATGAGGATCAGCACGGCCAAGTCAGATATGGCAACACACTTTCTGAGCCCTTTTTAATAAAGAATGGTGTGAAACAAGGCTGCGTTCTCGCTCCTACCTTATTCACAATCTTTTTCAGCATGATGCTCCAAAGGGCCACGGCAGACCTCAATGATCAGGACGGTATCTACATTCGATATCGTACTGATGGAAGCCTATTCAACCTAAGGCGACTGAAGGCCCACACCAAGACCCTAAACCATCTTGTCCGGGAGCTACTTTACGCTGATGACGCCGCCCTTGTTGCCCACACAGAAGCAGCTCTGCAGCGTTTAACATCCTGCTTTGCAGATGCTGCTGAGCTCTTTGGGCTGGAAGTCAGCTTAAAGAAGACAGAAGTTCTCCATCAACCTGCACCTCAGGAAGTCCTCCATCATCCCCACATCACCATCGGCCAGTCAGAACTCAAATCAGTCCAACAGTTTAATTACTTAGGCAGCCTCATCTCCTCAGATGGTAAGATCGACGGGGAGATAGATAACAGGTTAGCGAAGGCATGCAGTGCTTTTGGAAAACTCCATAAAAGAGTATGGCGTAATAAACACTTGAAGAAAAGTACCAAGATCAGTGTTTACAGAGCCATTGTGCTGTCTACTCTTTTATATGGTTCCGAATCATGGGTCATCTACCGCCACCACCTGCGTCTCCTAGAACGCTTCCATCAACGCTGCCTCCGTACAATCCTGAACATCCACTGGTCAGATTACGTGACCAATACATCTGTTCTTGAACAGGCAGCAATCACAAGTATTGAGGCCATGCTACTGAGAACGCAACTGCGATGGGCAGGGCACATCTCCAGGATGAAGGACCACCGCCTCCCTAAGATCCTGCTTTATGGTGAACTTGCCTCCGGCTGCCGCAAGAGAGGAGCTCCGAAGAAAAGATACAAGGACTCCCTGAAGCAACAACTCAGCCTCGGGCATATTGATCACCATAACTGGTCCACTCTGGCCTCTAATCGGGAGGCCTGGAGACAGTCCATTTATAACGCAGCTGATGCTTTTGAGAAAGCACGCAGGATCACCCTTGAGGAGAAAAGACAACGCAGAAAGAATCGAGCCTTGCAGAATATACCATCTAAGGAGTCTTTCTGCTGTGCCTTTTGCAACCGGACTTGCCTTTCTCGTATTGGCCTTTTTAGCCACCAACGCGCTTGCAAGAAACGTGGGTAGAGCCCTTCCCAAATCTTCGTTCGCGAAGCCTAGCCATGATGATGATATTATTGTATATATAAAAATTTAAGATGATGTGGCGGAGTGCCTACCTTTGTAGGAGAAAGAGAGAGTTTGGTGGTGCTAGATGCATTGAAAGTCTTGTATAATAGAAAGAGTAGTTGAGAAATAATTTTATTCTCCTTTGTCAAAAGCGTGTTCTGACGTCAGCTAGCAGAAGTAGCAGCTTGATTCCACATGAGAAGTGACTGAAAGGTTGTTTTGCAGTCTGGATGTTTTGAGGCAAACAAAGAGGCAGTACTGTTTGGGGTTCTTTTTTTCTTATTTACAAATCTGTGTTTAGTATTGAGTTACTTGTTTAACAGCTCACTGTTATCTTAAGAAATGCCAAGTTTTCCATCAGCACCTAGACGGATCCTATTTTGAGTTGTGTTACATTTGTCTTCTCTTTCTCCCAGAACAATACCTTTACTTTGTAAAGTGCATTCAGAAAATCCACCTCTTCACAAGAAAAATGCGAAGCTCGTCTTTCATACCTTTTAAGTTGAAGTGATAGGTGTTTCAATTGTTTAGTTCTGCGTTTTAATGTCTGAGTCCTGTTGACTCCCAAGCATTGGAGAATCATGAGAGCAGACATTTTGTACAAAGTCATAGTCCCTGACAATACCAAAACCCATTTTCTGTGTTATGTGGAAGAAACTATAACATGAAAGATTATTACAAAAAGTAAGACTAAATGACTGATCTATGTTTCAGTATATGGGAAGGGTGTCTGATCTCATATTTATTATATTAGCTAGGTCAATACTTCTTACTGCTCTAGTCCCATGCAGAGGTGTCTAAGTTTTACTTGGCTCCCTGCCAAGTCCCCAGACTCAGCACAAAAACCTCCAGCAAAGAGGAAAGAAAAAAAAACTATGAAAAATCCAGACTAGCCGAACTATATTAAAATAAATGTATTTACGTATATTACAGTTATATACAGTTGAAATACTATATACAATCTCAAAAGGGAAAGGAAGGGGAAGGGAAAAAAACCCAAAAATCCAAAACAGGTATTCATCATTCATGGCTAGGCTTCATGAACGAAGATTTGGGAAGGGCTCTACCCACGTTTCTTGCAAGTGCGTTGGTGGCTAAAAAGGCCATTACGAGAGAGGCGTGTCCGGTTGCAAAAGGCACAGCAGAAAGACTCCTTAGATGGTATATTCTGCAAGGCACAATTCTTTCTGCGTTGTCTTTTCTCCTCAAGGGTGATCCTGTGTACTTTCTCAAAAGCATCAGCAGCGTTATAGATGGTGTGACCAAAACAGATATACACAATCAAAAAAACCCCTCAGGATCTAGCAAACTAAAGAATTAGCAAAAGAATATCTTACTACTTTCCTTGGGATAGCACAATTGCCCAAATGCCGCCACTATGCTATCGGACTCTGGATCAGCAGGAACAACAGGCCCTATAGGCCCAGCCAGGCCCCAGCTCCCCCACAGAAGCGAGACCGGCTGTGGGGAATCTGCTGTCTCCAAACCTCACCAGAAGGGAAGAAAGGAAGAGGCTTCTCTCTCCGTCTATGTATCTGTTTGGATTACGTAAAGGAATAGGATGGAATACTTCCTTCCTTCCTTCCTGACAACCAGGAAGGAAGGCCTAAACTCAAAACCGTTACAAAAGGTCTTAAATCTTTAAATTCCTCTTTCAGCAATAGAAATAGAGGGATTGAAAGCAATCTAGAGAAAGCACTTTCTATAGAAAATAGTATGCGTATGCGATGGGGCATTTAAAACACTGTAACTGCTTGCTTCTATAGATAGGATTTAATTGTAAACCAGTGTTGCTGCTATCTAATGTTAAATGATAATGGATTTTTTTTCTTGCCATTAGAAAAAGTAATTATGATGAGATAGATTTGTAACACCAAATGTTGAAGTCCAGGAACGTCACTGTCTATTAAGATCTGGCTTAATAAGATTTAAAATTGAAGTGTAATGGTCTCTTTTTAGGGAGCCGGAGTTAAGTCTCTTATTCCTGCAACTTCATATATGTTGGCTGGAATATGTTTTTAAAATCACAGCTCCCATTGGATAAGTTATTATTTGTGGTTGGCTGAGATATTTTCTACTTAACATTATACAGGCAGGCCTGTGTGCATACATTAATGTAATTTAAATACATATGAAAAAAGGGGGGGTTATGTCTCTTTACTGTGAGCTTTTAATTTATTCTATACACTATATGTCACAAGACAATTGAAATATATGTTGTCAAAACTCTGGAGCACCGATATCTGAATTTCTTTAATCAGATTAAAGTGCATAACAACTTTCTAATGTAAACCTTTTTGTGAAGAGTCTGTAAGAATTTTGTTTCAGATACAAATCTTCCACTTCATGAGCTTACAGCATTATGAATGTTAATTTCTTCCAGATATACAGAAGAAATCATTCCCCGCCACCCGTGCCTGAAACTTATTAGCAACTGTGAGCAGATGCTTTCCAGCCACACATCAAGGCGCCTGATTACCATGGAAAAGGTGAAAGAATTCAAGGTAAGCTTGAATTCTTGATTATATTGTGTAAAATAGTAGTTATAGCATTCATGACAAGTTTGTGCTATTTGCCAGTTGATCCTTATTTCTATCACATTCGAGTTTTTATGATCAGATTGAGAGCTTCTGGAAAATTAAGTAGTGATCTAAGGTTTCTGGTTTGGTTTTTTTCCTTTTTCTTCTCAGTTTTTGGTAAACTCTTCATCCCAAGCAAGCCCCTGAATAGTGTAAAAAAGATCTTTGAACTTATGGTTACTTGTCAATCCCATCCACAGAGGTGCCTAAGTTTCCATTGATTTCAAAGTGTAACTTGATGCCCGAGTAAATACAAAATGGCTTTGTGGGTCTTTCAGTACAGGTAAACCATATTCGATTCTGTTACTTCATCCTTAGAGCTCTTAGTTTTTGAGATAATATTGAAGTTGTGAAAGTACGGTGAAGCACACTGGCTCTTTTTTTTTGTTTTGGGACACACTAAGTGGCTCTCCTGAGGCACTGGGGGGAGGGAATATTGCGTTCGGGTCTCCTTTCCATTCTTGATGCTTCTCTCACTCAATATTGTTAAAAGAGATGCTAAGCAACTGTGAGGCAAATTCTTAATGAAAATGCACGCAGTGAGCAAGTGTTTTTAGTACAATCCTTGTCAGTTGGAAGAGCTATTTCAGATGACAGGAGATACAGTCAAACTGCTGTGTCTGCATGGTGCTTGCACTAATAACACAGCAGGGTTTCAGTACTGTGTTCATAATGCTCATGATCAGTGCAGTTCTCAAGCAACACCTGAATTTTTAAAGGCACTGTAGTTGGAGTTCAGTGTCGGAGCTGCCAACTTCACCAGTAGCGAACCAGGAGGGTAGATGCTGAAAATTTTTGACACATGTGTCTCGGGGTTTTCAAGGAGGTTTTCTGCAGGAGTTTTATTAATACCAGTGCTGTAGGATAACATGTTCTAATCTAAAAAATATATCCACCCTTCTGTGAGTAGACTTCTGTCATTTGTTATTCTTGTTTTGTGCATCACCTGTTCTTCAGTACGTGATTTGACAGGTTCGTGTCTGGAAATGCTTAGCTCTGAGCACCTGAGAATATTTGGCAGGCTTACTGCTTAGATAAAACTGTGCAAGTGCTTATATTCAGGACTCCAAATGTCTGTTAGATAATCTGAAGATACCAGAACCCATGTATGGTTTTTGATGATGTAAAACTTATCTAAAGAACAAAATGCATATTGACTCCTTAGCCAATGCCTGCCTGGTTTAGGGTCTTGTTTGGTGTCTAAGATTTCCCCACCTCAGTGTCCCTTACTTGGAACATGGCTTTTCCTTTCTTAATATCCTGAGCAACCTTTGAATTGAATATTTCTTTCTGACTCACCAGATGTGATCATGAAATTCCATAGCTAGTGTTTTGACTGTTTTCTTAAATGAAAGAGTGAATTTTTATGAATATGCAAACATTTATGTTTCCAGACAGTTCCTGTCTGTTTTACTAAACTGGTCTGTAACAGACCCTCACAGCTGCCTTTTAATTCAGCTTAGTGCAGCAATTGCAAGTGGCTAAGAAGTTTTACAAATCATATAGTGTCATTATGCAGTTCTTTGGTTTCCCCAGGGTTTGCCACCAATAAGGAATTGCAGATTTCACAGCAAATTTGATTTCACTGTTAACACTCTAAACTCATAAATGAAGATGAATTCAGTCAGTTACTGAAATTGATGGTGCATTTTTTTTGAATTGCAATAAAAAGGAGACCAAAATGAATGCAAAATGTGAGTATGTCTAGGTGAAGTATTGATCTAACATAAGTAATCATTAACATGAAGATCATATATGTTGAATTAAAAGCCTCACAAAAGGTGGTATATAACTCACTGTCAGTAAGCATCCAGTCTGTTCTTTTTAAGTTTACAGTGAAATCATACCAACTGGAAAAGATTTCTTACTGAACTCAGTGTTGATATGAATAGGCTTTTCCAGCATATACACAATATGAGCAGAGGAGTTGTTTGTTTTTTAACATTTAGGGCTTTTTTTTTTTAAATTACCATTTCAGGCAACTTTTGCCATCGTTCCTCCCAGCACAGTGCTCACCCCAAAATTTCCATGTCACATGGTCACTCCAGAGCTGTTACTGGTGTAGAATTTCTCCTGTTGAATTTAACAGTGTCTGTTCCTGGATATGACCTTGTTGTCCCCGTTTTGGTAACTGCTCCATTTTGTTTATAGCTGTATAACATTAGTACAAGTGGTTTCTGTAGCTACTGTCCAGCACCAGATGTGGAGTGGTAGGAAGAGGTGATAGGGCTAGGAAGAATTTTTTTTTCTTTAAACAAAAACTGAATGTGGGTAATTACCCTGGAGCCAAACTGAGGATGCTAGATTTATAAAAATCTTTAGAATATCACTTAATATTTGCCAAGATTTCAAGAAAAGTAAAACTTTCTTGTTATCATTAAGGGTCCTCCTCTCTTCCACCTCTGTCATTATTTACTGGAGATCTGTAACACCTATTTTAGTGTTGTCTTTACAACAGATAAGTGTTGAGTTGAAAACTCAAAGTAGCTAAAAGCAATTTGGTAGCTCTTTGACAGGAACTTTGTTGGTTTGCAGTTGTCACAGAACTCATCATAAAACATTTCAGAGCAACATTTATGTGGTAACTGCTGCTTGCAATTAGTCTGCTGTTTTGAGAACTTATATTATTCAAAATAAGAACCAAGGGTGATGATAAAGAATGACCAGGGATTAACAAACATCTCCTGTTCTGAATTTTACAAATAAAAGAAGTCGTCTTTGTCTTCTTGGTTGTGCTGACACACTAGAGAAAGAGCTGACTTAGTGCCAGGTAGGCTGATCATTGCTGATCAGTCGTCTAAATTATTTCTTGGGAAGTCTCACTGTTTTGCATTAAATAACCAATTACAAACTTTATGCCTTGAAAACTACGTATGGTTGTTTCAAAGGAAATGAAAGAAAAAAGTTACTCATCCCTAGATGCAGCTGTGTGTCACCAGCAGCACTGCTTATTTCTCTTCCAGCATGTCAAGAGGAGGAAAGAGACTGTCTTCCTTAAAACGCTGTGATTCAACTCCATTCCCTGAATTTAAACTTTTTTTTTTTTAGAAAAAAAAAGTTAAAAAACATCCATGTTAACTGCACTGGACAGTTAATGCATTTGAGGGAGACTTGACACTGCCCCTGACACCTTGCATAAGAGATCTCTCCTACTGCAAAATGTTCCTGTCATATATTTAGTTTGCATATTCTAACGATTTATGCTACTCAAGACAGAGAGTAACTGAGGATGTTTGACTGATTTCCTTATTGAAATAAGCTGCTGCCTGATGCCCAGGCAAATTCTAGTGCAAATTGTCACAATAAATTCTTTAATGAAGAGGTTTTTGGACAAGTATTCCTGGTGTTCAGGTTGTACCCATTCAGCTCCCTGATACAAAATGTCATAATTTAGAATTTGTTTGGAAATCATTAGTTTCTGAAATGCAAGAATTTATTTTACTTTGATCAATTCTCACATTGCCCATAAAACTATTTTGACTAGTAAATGCTAACAGTGAGTGGTACCTCCAGGTAGTTCAGGATTTCTTTATTTTCTTTTCCTTCTTTTAAGGAGCAATTCACAATCTGTTGATTTTTTTTTTTGTTGTTTTTGGTTGGTTGGTTTTTTGTTTGGTTTTTGGTTTTTTTTTTAAGCAATCACTATCTTTATTAGGCAATCATGCCTGTGCAGGAGAGAGGTAGAGAATGAAACCTCTTAAGCTGGAATTATTGTGATGTGGGCCAGGAGCTTCCTTTGTAATCTCTCCCAATAAACCCACGCATAGCTACAGATCTCTCATTTAGCGAGCAGAGTTTTGCAGAGCTTTTGATGAGGCCTGGATTTTCAAGATAGGTTGTGCTGTGGAGTGGTGCACCAAACCTGTTTTCATTTGATGAATACAGATGCTCCATTACACCTGTGTTTTACTTGAAGTTTGTTCTCTTACACAGTATATCCTCTCTTTACCTTAACCAGCTTGGGGATAGAGGAAGGAGAAGTTTCTTTCCTCTTTCCTCCCTTCACCCTGAATCAGCATTTTGTTTCTTACAGAATCAAGATGAATGGTGTACACATGTGGGACCTCTTAGAGGTTGTGGGGATTAATTTTTATGTTAAAATATATTGACCCATATATCATTATCCTTCAGGGTCAGATATCCCATCCATTTCTCAAAATAATTCTTGTTAAAACACATCCCAACAATATAAAAGTACATGTTTAGGTCAAAGAAGGATTTCTGACTTGCAAATTCAGGAGAAGAATAAGCTCTCTTTTCCTCAGAGTGGTGTGGAGAAGTGGGTACAGGCTGGCTGTGAGAGTAGTGTGTCTTAAGTCCTCCTTGTTTCCAGTCTGCCTATAGTAATCTTGTAATTTTGGGTTTTTTTCACAAACATGTTAAAACCATGTTGATTGTCGCCCTGGGAATAGTCTTGGAGATGGCAGTCTCTCACAGGTGACCAAAAGATAATAGGTAGTACTATGGGTTTCCTGAAGTCATTTTCTTCTGCTGTTTTCCAGTGGTGCAGTATTTAAATGGAGCTGCTACTGGTGTACATGCTTTACATGTTAGATATCTACATGGCAGTAAATATTTAGCAAGTTAATTTAAGCTGGTGTCACGTTACTGGTATCTGCTGGGATAGCAGGTGAAAACTACTTCTTAGGAATATCTCATTGTATCCGGAAGAGGGCCCTTGTACATGCACACAAGCCTCTTGCTTTGTTGAACAACCTTCTGTTTCACTCCTTTTAGATTGCATGTTAGGATATCCAAAGCTAGGTTAGGTGTTGAATCTTGCTAGGTGAAAACCTGGAAAGACTACAAAATAGTGAGGGGAGAGATTGTTCATTAGGATTCAGTTCATCCTTGCATTGTAATACCTTTGTAGTATGAAAATATGGACTAAAATCTACTTCCATGTTTCTCCTACTTATGCTAAAGCATTCCACGGTAACTTTATTTACAAATATCAACAAATAACTTTGAATTGTAAACTTAAGTAATGAACCAACCTGTATGTAACTGCATTGCTTAAAAAAAATTTAATGGTGAGTATGCATTGAGAAAAAACATTGGAATCGAGGTTTACTTCTGTGGTATGCTTGTTTTTATTTTCTCTTTGTGCAGTTCAGTTGTTCTATGTGAGGCTGCTTGTCACCTTTCCATCTTGCTATTGAGCATAATAAAGTGACATCAATAAGCATAACACTGTTTTTAGAAGTCCCATCAGTTTTCTTTAGCACTCAGGTCAAAGTTTGATGTATTGTTTAGCTTATAGCATTGCTAATGTTAGTTGACAAGTATCTTAATTGTGTAAAGCCATAATACACAATGAACTAAACCTTTGTGTATGTAGTGGGAGAGTTTTCTAAACTGTATTGTTGGCTTGTGTCAAATATGTATTATGTGTAGGGATTTACTGTATCAACTTAACTTTCAGAGGTATATGAATGCTGCACAAAAAAATTTTCTCTGATTGTGCTTCAATAACTGTAGGAACTCATTTTAGCTGACTGTGTTCCTCTTCTGTTTGTACCTGCCTTAGAGACTTCTGAGTGATGGAATTCTCCAGATGGCATATTTTCTGGAAAATACATGTTTTCCTTTATAAAAGTCTGTGTAGCATAGTACCTGTGCTCATTCATTCATGTAAGGGTAAGATTCTGGTGATGCCAGATGAGATATTTTCAGTGATGCAGTGCTGTTAAAACTGACAACTTGCATAATTTTGCTGTACAGAGTAGAATAATGGAAGTTTGAATGAGTACATTAAGAAACACAAACAAAAACTAACATCACAAACAAAATCTCTTTGTCTGCTTACAGCTTGTATTTGATTAATGTCAAATGAGAATCCATGGCATATGGAATTTCATTTCTGTTAAATGTTAAGACTTTGAAGTAGAATGTATATGTTCTTGTTAATCCTAATGGAAACCTTAGCATTCTAGTTTTTAAATTCTTTAAATCAGTCTAGTGTCTTAAATGGGTGCCGTTGAATTGTAAAAAAAACCTAACTACTTTACCCTTACTTGTGTTTGAAAAAGTCTGGAAGCAAACCAGTGGCAATACCTGCTGAACATACTATCCTGAAGTCTAATGATTGCATTTTGATACTATACAGGATCAAGATGAGAATTCTTACTTGTTGGATGGCCAGTATATGCCATACAGGGGACACAATTCTTTCCGTGAGAAGTATTTCAGTGGTGTGACAAAGAGGATTGCCAAGGAAGAAAAAGACAATCAGAAGTAAAATATAATATAAACAGATTAAAAAATGAGAAAAGAACGGAGATCGTGTTTCTTTGTAAGGACATCTGGATATGAACATTCATTTGGATGTTTCAGAAAAACAAATACTGCTTTTAATTTTAAAACAAGATGAAACCCACAACACAGGTTGAGAGCCATTCTTTTTAATTAGCTTTGTTTACAGCAGATTTTATTGTACAAGTTTTTTGAGTCTTATTTAATTTATATTTGTACTTTCAAGTACTAATGATGATTGACTAAAACCATTATTATTGTTCTTTCACCATTAACATTTACAAAAAAGTAGCAGTATTATTTGGCTTCTTAAACTGTGAACATCTGGCTGTTTGAGAAACACGTGGTGGTGATCAAGAATTGCTTATTAAGAAGATCATTTTCATTTGTTTTGTTTCTTTGTAAATTGTACACAATAAAACAAGATTGTCGTGAGTTTTTTTTAATTATTGCATGCAGTAATTGCTTGAATGAATTCCACTTGCTCTGGCTGAGGTCAGAAGTATTTAAAACAAATAAAAAATGCAAAGAAACAACTGGGCACGTGCACACCCCACAAAAAAAAAAGAAAGTCTCTGTGACCTGACAAACTCTGGAGAGCCTATTAAACCCTGTGAAGCCTGTCCACGTCTGAAGCTCATCTGTACCTTGGATTTGCTTTTGCATTCCTAAACCTTGACTCTTGGTCAAGCCAACTGTCTGCAATTTTTGGTTCAGAAATTGATAGTTAAACCAGTAACAACAACAGCATAAAATCAGTAATGGTTCCCTAATGGTATTAAGCCTAATCAAATCATTGAAACTGAAGTTGCATTTGTTAAAGGGCAGACTTTGCTGAATCCACACCGTGTCCATCATGAAAATACCTCATTTGAAAACCACTAAGCCCATTAATTCAGGATGTTAATGGTCCTTCTCATTTTGGTGGTCGAATATGGTCACATATTCTTCAGCAGGGCATTTACTTGCTCTAGCCAGAGGAACCCTGCTTCTCAACTTACCACAGGTCACTGACTATGGTCATGTTAGAATCTTTGTAGATCATAGTTTTTAAGTGCCTCTCCAAGGAAGGCACGAGTCATTGTGTGTATCCGATCAAGTTCATTAACTGAATTTGCTCTTCTGTGTTTTGTGGTCCTTAGCTGCAGCAGGAAGGCTTACAAACTCAATGACAGCTTTGTCTGACCTTCTGGATCTAATCTGTTGTGTGTTAAAAAGTTCTCAAATTGTGATTTATTTTCTCTGTTTCCATTATAAATCACTTTTTTTTGAGACATCTTATGTCAGCCTTATAATAGTTGTTCTGGGCTAAACTTGGAGCAAGATCAAAAGCTCAGAAAATTTTTTGAAAGTAGAATTTGAATTGATTGCTTTCAAATATTACCTCAAAAATTACTACTTCTGAAAACCTGTCTTCATTTTAACATTACAATTTGGCATTCAGCTTTTATTACTTTACAAATTAAAATTACTTTCAGTTCTTCATAGGCAAGAAATTTTTCTAAATGGATTTATTATGCCTTTATAACTTCATTTTCCTAAAAGTTACCTTACACAGACATGATCTACATAGTTATACAAGAGGGAAGGTAGTGGCAAATCTGGCTCTGTCTTTTCAATGAAAATGATTGAGTTTATTTCTCCTCTACCTGGTCCAACTTTTAGTCCCTTCATCAGTGGTGCTGTAGCCTCTGTTTAGCAGTTCATACATAACAGCTCTATCATTACTCAAGAATACCATTTTGAACAGAAACTGCAAGTGTATTTGGGGTACTGCATCAACACCCACTAATCAAAAATCATTTAGAATTGAAATCAGATGTTCAAACTCTGCTGATCCGCAACTTTAAAGCTATGATTTGGAAATATTCCTCATGTTTAAATTTCTCCTTGTTTAATGTGCACGCTCCAGCCTGTTGTACGTGCAGCCTTGCAAAGCACAGGCATGTATAGCTGTAAAGCCGTGACGCAGTCCTTGCTCTTGCTCTGTCGAAGGACTGACAGGCGGGTGAGTTATCGTTTCGGCAGGACTTGGCCATCCATGGCCGCGGTTTCTGGCACTTTCGTTCAATCTGGTTCCATTCAGTCTCTTTCTGAGTAGTTCCAGTTTCCTGTCCCTGGCGGGGAGCATCAGTTCACAATCCCGCGCTGAACTCGTGCCATTGTCATTCTCTTTTTTGGGGTGGTTTGTGCCATTTTCCAGTTTTTAAAGATAAATGTTATTTTTGGAATGCTTTGTTGTACTGCAGCAAATTGGATGGAGGGAGGAGCTGAAAACAGCTGCGAGGTCATATGGTCAGAGGCTGTCTCTTGCTGTAGGGAGCGATTTGTTGAGGCAACAAAGGGAGAGAGCCCCCTCTTTTCACAGTATCCCTTTACCTGATGTTGGTGTTCCTGGCTGTAAGCCTCCTACATGTCCATGGGAAGAGGAATTGGAAAAAGAGTGGAAGTAGATTTTCTCTGCAGTCGTTGTGTGTCCTACTTGCTATCTCTCTCTAATACTTTAATTAGTAGCCAATATGACCAAGTGTAACAGAAGGTCAAGGTTTGAAGATGTCTTAACAGATAACAGGAAGCTACACATTTTGTTGAAATAGGCAGAAGTGTTGAAAAAAAAAGACCTAGTTAATGTCTTCCAAGGAAAAGGCTGTAATACAAGTTCAACTCTCATTAAACATCAGAGAACCCACACGGAAACAAGACCTGGAGACAAAAGCTCTAACCAATGTTTTTTGTTCCTGCTGTGACAACTAGTGCTGGCCCTGCTGCTTCTTGATCTGCTCTTTAAAACAAAGAGACACAAGTAAAAGCATTTTTTTAGATGGAACATAAAGGTCTTGGCTGAACTTTCCACTTCTACCCAAGCTACGAGACAAACTCACAGAAACTCAGACTCGGTAGTTTCTCCTTATCACCAATGTATCAGCTTGGTGAACTTCTCAAGAGTACAATTCTCCCTGTAAACCATCCTAAGAAACTGGTGTCTGTTAATGGAATAACATCTAACTCTGGGTCTCCTCCAGTAGAGAAGCAGTGTTCCCTCACTGGATATGGACTCTTCAACAGCAACTCTTGAAGGTTGGTTTTGGTGGACCCTTTATTCCTCTCTGCCTGTTCAACGGGGCTGGAAGGCTGTGGTGGAAGTGCTTAACTGTTCAGTATCTCTTCTTTTTTCCTTAGAGTAACATTGTAGCTCAGAGCTGGGACTTAATAGAAGGACATGTGTATCCATGCCCACCACAGTTGGCAGAAGGCAGTCAAATTTTTGTGAGTTCTCAGTCAAGCTCATCTGTCCAAAATTATTGAAAAATGTGGCTTAGAAGATAAAGTACGGGCTTTCTCTCTTGCTGTTTTGATACTGGTTGAATGTAGAAATGTAATAGGGAGAAAACACCTTAATAATTCTCAGTGTTTGCTTTCCTTCTATCACTGCTTTTTAAGATTTCTTCTTAATCGTTATTTCCACTGTCGCCAGGACAATTCCACAGCTTCAAGGCCACCAGCCAGAGAAGGGTGTCACAGATGGTGACACTTACACTGTCTTCTGGTCACAGGTTTTCAAGAGACAAAAAAAATGTCCAGTTGGAGCAGGCAAGACTGAAGTGGGTGATATGTGGTGGTTACAGGTTTTCCTGTTGGACAATAAGCAGCTCTGGGGTTAGCTGACAGGAGGTTCAGCTGCTAGCTCAGCTCCCATCACCACAATGTTCCTCTTTTCTGACTCTCCTTTCTGCCCCTTTGTAAAAGCAGAGAAGAAAAATTTAATGTGTTCGTTCTTTGCTGTTTAGCTTGGTTTGCAGTTTAAACTGAGGTCCAGAGTTAAACAAGGCCGTCTTTTCAGTCTGAAGATTTCTTCCCTGCTCCTAAAACAAACAGAGTTGTGGGTACCCAGGGGAATGAAGAGACTCCCTTTCTTTCGAGTTTGCTATTTGGAAAATAAATGTGTTTCTTTAACCTTATTCTTTTATATAATTGATTTTTATGATCATTTAATTTAAAACAGCAAAGCACATCTTACCTGCCTTCATGCTACCCTTTTTAATATATTTCTGTGATGTTCTCTTATTGGCTTATTGGACTGTAAAAGTCTCTGTTCATGTATGTATCCTCACAACTGTTTTCTTTGTAGTTTTCTATCATGGATGCTGTTATTTTGTACATTGTATTTTGTACTGCTCTTATCAGTTACAGCTTTCCTGGGCCTGTGGGTGTGCAGGATACCACTCAAACAAGACGTCAGCTCTCTGTTAGCTGAAACACCTCATCAGACCCAAGGTCCTGGAGAATGGACATTCCATCTGGCTACACTAAGGGTATTGGACCTTGAGACAGGTTTGCCAAGTAAGATCTTATACAGCTCTTGCAGGTTGCATAAAGTGAGGTGGGCAGCTGAAAGGTAAAATCCATTGATAGGAGGGAGATCTTGATGTCTTTGCTGCCACTGTTAGGATAGTAGCTCACTGTACCCTCAGTGAGGTGCCCAGGAGAGGCTGCTGCCAACCCACAGCAGACCAAGGCACAGGAGGCTCTGACCATGCGGATCAGGTCTAACAAGGAGTACTTTGAGTACCACTGGGTAGGAACAGGATATTTTGCTTCATTTAAAATTCCCCAGAAGGTAATTTTTTAACATTCAGGTTTTGGGTGCTGGAAAGAGGTGATAATTGGCAATTATCATCTGAAATTCTAGTCCAAATTTACATAAAATAGTGAAAATAAAAAAAAACTAAACGTGTAAAAACAGCATAGTATTATCGCTATTGTAATTCTCTCCAAAACAACATTTTATTTAGGTTCTTTTTCTTCCAATTAAAATGCCACTTGAAGCATAAAATTTTAATCTAAAACTTTTTCTTCATGGATTTGTTCTAATAATTTTTTCACTAATAAAGTGCAAAATAGCAGGTCGTGTTACTGTATGTGATGGGACAAGTAGTTAATTCTAATCTAATATATAACTCCTAACTAAACAATCTCATCTCCATAAGAAGATGCCATTGGTAAAATAGTCATAGTTAATCACAATACTTCCTTCTCTGGAGTCTGTCCCAAAAGATGTGATGTCTCTGTCTGATGAGTAAGAATGGATGTTCTGTGCCATGATTGGACAGCCCAGAGTGTCTTTGCTTTATCCTGTGACTGATGTGAAAGATTTCCACTGAACACTTGTATTTTAGAGGCAAAACTCATGCTTGTTCTATCTATTTTTCTATTGATGTATCTATCACTAGGAGAAATGCAAGTAGATAATTTCAGTACAGGAAAAATTTAGTTATGAAAGTTTTTAGCACCTAATAGGGAAGGTTCCTAAAATACTGTGATTTTTGGCTAGAGATGAAACATAGCTATATGGAGAAAATCCTGTGAGTAGTTGGATCTTTTAAGTTGAAAGGATAGCTCCTTACACGCAGGCACTCTTCTCCACTGAGCTGTGGTCCTGTGCTTTGTGTGAATGTATGTGGTGGGTGGAATGATGCCTCTGCGGTCACAGTTCATGCCTTTATAACCTGTTCTGCCCTTCAGGTTTGTTTTGAGGCTGTTTACTTAAAGCTGTGAGATCCTGAGATTAGGAGTGCTAGGCAGGTGCAGTGGGTTTATTGCAATAACAGTTGTGGCAGAGACTAGGATAAACAGAATCGTAAGCAGCACCTTAGGACATAGACTCCTGTCTTGAAGAAAACCTTGTGTCTCATTAATAAGCAGACCTGTAGCAATTTAGGAGGGTTTTGGAAAGTTCCTACTCTCTCTTCAAAATGCCTGTGTGACAGAGAGTACTTGTATGCCTTTGCTCAAACCTCATTCCTTAACACTGTAGTCCGTGGAAAAACGTAATGAAATTACATAAGGAAAGGGGCTGCTATGAATGTGCTGGTGCATCCTGTGTGAATACACACAAGCACCCAAGCACCACTGGCACTTGTTCTGCCTCCTCATTCTGGTGTTCCCCGGGAGTGACCTGACAGGCTGCAGGCTGAACTTGTTAAACTGCTGCTGTTTGCTACAGGGAATGACCTGCCAAAAAAATGCGCGGGCCTCGTGCCACTGGGGCCGGGGGAGTGGGCCCTCCCCTCTCACCCCCAGCCACCTTGCCTCCTTATGAAGCAAACAAATTAATTTTATAAATCTCATAGAATAGCATTTTCAGCCTTATGTAAAGATGTCAAAGAAGACAAAAGATACAGATTATTTCTTAATTAAATATAGATTTTATTTTGGTTTTTGTTTTTACTCCAAAAGCAAACCAAAACAAGTTTGTGCCAAGAGCTGTTACATCCCACCCCCTTCCTATTTTTTTTAAATTGTGTTTTTATAAGCCTGGAAGAATTAATGATGAAAATCTTTCCAGCTGTGACTTTGCCAGGATCCCTTTCTGAAGCTCCTACTAATTTGGATTAAAACTGGATGGATGAAAGCTTTAAACAGCAAATCCTGGCAGTAGATTTGCTGAGGCCCCACGGCATATACTTCTCCAACTGTTCTTATCTTCTGAGGCAAAAAAGAAAAAAAAGAAAATAAGCAAACATCATTTTGTAATTACACAGTTGTTAACATTTTCCCTGCTTTTCCCCTCCCTGGTCTAGGACACAGGGTCCCACCACCCCAGTAGCCTACTGGGGCTCCTCTTTGCAGGACAGACCCCTGGATTTTGCAGGACAAGGTTTTGCTTGCAGAATGGTGGGTTTCTTAAGCACTATCTCATACCACCTACTCTGAATGTTAACAGCCAGTGTGGATTTTAGAGAGAGTTGCCACCCTGGGATGTAACAGTTCAGAATGGCAACGCTGGGTGTGCAAGCCTGTCGTTGCAGGGACATGAAGCCACCAAGCTTCCTGAGTCCCGGCTGCTGGGTGTTCACCTCACTTGTTTAATTCTAGCAGTGTTGGCGCCGTGTTGTCTTACTGTCCAGGCTTCCTGGAGCCAGCAGCTGCAAGCTCTCGTACTGCCACAAACAATTAAACTAATTTCTTTAAATTGGACAGATCGATCTCTGGCAAGTGGCCCATGTTCCTGCTCCTCCTCCCTCTCACCAGGAGAGTCTTCTGGAAAGTTGTGAGCTTATTAAGGCCTTGCTCAGTGTGTTCCTCTCTTCATGACCATGCTGAGTCTGAGGAAAGGCAGTGCTCCAAACACAAGCAGAGCCATGGGACACTGACAGCCTCTTCCTGTGGCCTTGCCAGAGGGTGTCCTCTTCACCAGTGCAGCCCCTCCAGGCGTGAGGCTGCAGCT